ACAAGTAGACGAACTTCTCGTTGAGAAAATACTTAACATTTTTGTTTTATGTTTTCTGCGGCACTATTGGTCAATTTAAAGAAATCGTGTTTTAAAAATCACCATTTTATAAGTTTGTATCGCTTAAAATGCTTAAATAATCGTGTTTTGCTGGTGGTTCATAGAGGTATTTTTTCCCGATTTTACCCAATTATCCATATTTTAACATCTAATAAAAATATTCAAAATGTTTAAATCGTGGCGGGTCGTAAAACAGGGTATTAATTCAAGTGTGAATTGCGGCGTTAAAATTTTCCATTAGAGTGATTCATGATTCGTGCCATAATTCCGCATGTATCTATGATGAAACAAAGGTCTCGTTCCGCGTGTAGAAGCTGAAACATAAGTAATTGATGTTCTTTTCTCCTTGTTTTGTTTATACAAATTACGACAATAAAAAGTCCTTTATCCTTGACCAGATTTCGTAACACGTCGGTAAATTTGATTAATTCCAAGGTTTCCTTTAATGGTTACTACTACGTTATTCAACACTTTGTAGGGGATTATGATAGGTTTCAGTTTTAGTGAGGGGAGGAGGCGCTTGCAAGTTTTAATTATTCTTCCCTAAATTACGCCGAAACGGGAGCACTAATTGACCTTTTCCAAGTACCGTTGCTATTTACTCTAAATGACGAGTATATTCTCAAATTTTGCTACTCGCAAACTGTGGAAAATCACGAAATAAGCGAGAGAATTATTTTTGGCGTCTCTTTTTATCGTACAATTATTTACATCTCACTGGGAAATTTTTTCCTAATTTTAAATTGTGTAAGAATACATTCACACCAAGACACAAACGATAATGTTTGCCCATCATGAGATTGTTATTTCAATCAGTTCGAATAGATTTTTCCACGTTATTAAAATTTTGCCAGATTTTCATTACACGTTAGAGTTAATATCGCTTCATAAAGGAAAACTAAACGAGTAATACTTTAATTTTCATTTAGTCGTTTTGTGCGCTACGAAAAACGTCTATTATAAATCTGTAAATTATATGCGAATCAAATTAAATCCGAAGGAAAAGCTCATCAGACGTTATAAGATGGCGATGCAACTGTGTTTTAAACCGAAGTTTAAAACTACATCGGGTAATTGCTTTTATTACTGTACACAGTAGAACTTCTTACACTACAATTTTTGTTCTTTCTTTTCCTGTTGTTTGAAATTGCGCCGGCATTTTAATATCAAGTGGAAAAAACGCGTTGGTCAACTTTGGAGTGGTTAGTGTAACGACCCTCTCAGGATTTTATAAATTGCGACGTATCACGTACTTCAACTAAAAAAATGGCCTTTATTTATGTGTACGCAACAAAAAAAAGAACAGAAAAAAAACAAAATTCTTTTTAATAAATCCGCCTACTCGGTTATTATTTCACGTACTTTTTACAAATCCGGTTTCTGTCTTTTGTAGTAAGAAAGTTGAGGAGGCATCAAATGATTCATCCTTCGAGCCAATATATGTATAAATATATGAATAAAACCGAACCTTTTCATGCCTTAAAGAAACAGGAAATTGAATTCGAAATTATTCTTGATTCCATCTAATTTCGCATGCCTACGCGAACGTTTCAATTTCCACAGATCTTTTTATTTTTCTAATAAATATGCTCAGAATTAATGACATCAAGCGCCGCCAGTTGGAATGTTTGCTATCAGTGCAGGCGTAACAAAATTGTGTCGTCTATGTCACTTGGCAGAGTTGAATTTTTTAACAGGGAAGCACCACCCTTCGGTCCCGAGAAGTCATTATTAATTATGATACGATTGTGGATTTTGAAGTGCCGTGTACTTATTGCCATCAAAACATCTCGATCCATCAAATTCTCCACTTTGTTCTTGGTGCTTGCTGTATACGCACCTTGTGGCGAAGATTGTACCACCACAATAGCAATGTGCCAACTTACTTCGCAATAGTATTTGAATACTTAACCTTCCCTTTTTACCAAAAATCGACTACACCAAAATTTCTCGGGAAAACACTTTTTCTTATTAATTTTGGTGCGTAGAATCCAAATCAATTGGTACTTTTTCGATCAGACTTCTCAATCAAAAGTTATAGACTAGAAACCAATTTCGAATGAAAATTCAAAGGGCTGTACCTTTTGAACTAGTAGCCCAATCTTGGAACTGTTTGAAATTATGGATTCTACAGGCCACATTCTATAAGAAAAATTTTTTCCCGGTCGATCTGAGACAATTTTTTTTGAGGGCCTCAAAAAAAGGCAGTGTAGGTATAAACCTTCCTTTTTTACCAAAAATCGACTGCACCAAAATTTCTCGGGAAAACACTTTTTCTTATTAATTTTGGTGGGTAGAATCCAAAACAATTCGTACTTTTTCGATCAGACTTCTCAATCAAAAGTTATAGACTAGAAACCAATTTCGAAAGAAAATTCAAAGGGCGGTAACTTTTGAACTAGTAGCCCAATCTTGGAACTGTTTGAAATTATGGATTCTACAGGCCACATTCTATAAGAAAATTTTTTTTCCGGGTCGTTCTGAGACAATTTTTTTTTCGGGCCTCAAAAAAGGCAGTGTACAACCTTCCTTTTTTACCAAAAATCGACTACACCAAAATTTCACTTTTTCTTATTAATTTTGGTGCGTAGAATCCAAATCAATTCGTACGTTTTCGATCAGACTTCTCAATCAAAAGTTATAGACTAGAAACCAATTTCGAAAAAAAAAATTCAAAGGGCTGTAACTTTTGAACTAGTAGCCCAATCTTGGAACTGTTTGAAATTATGGATTCTACAGGCCACATTCTATAAGAAAATTTTTTTTCCGGGTCGATTTGAGACAATTTTTTTTTCGGGGCTCAAAAAAAGGCAGTGTATAACCTTCCTTTTTTACCAAAAATCGACTACACCAAAATTTCTCGGGAAAACACTTTTTCTTATTAATTTTGGTGCGTAGAATCCAAATCAATTCGTACTTTTTCGATCAGACTTCTCAATCAAAAGTTATAGACTAGAAACCAATTTAGAATGAAAATTCAAAGGGCTGTACCTTTCGAACTAGTAGCCCAATCTTGGAACTGTTTGAAATTATTACTTTTACTCCCTTTAAATTTGTATATAACAATAGAAATATAAAAATAAGCTAACCCCATACAAAGTATAACTTGATTTTTTAAGTAGTATTAAGACTTTTATCTAGTATACTATTTTACATTTTTAATGTATTTGAGGGACAAGTATTTGAATACTTTTTATAGTATTCGAATACCTTTGAAAGTATTCGAATGCATTCTAAAGTATTTGAATACTTATTTGTTAAACTATTTGAATACTTTTCAATGTATCTGTATCTACACCTTTTCCACTTTTATTCGAGAAACTATCAAGTTAATTTGAGAAAGTATCAATTGTATTTGAGAATAGTAAAATGTATTTGAGAAAACAACAAATGTAGTTCAGAATAATGATTTGTATTTGAGAAGGCATCAAATGAATTTGAGAGTAGTAAATTGTATTCAAGAAATGGTAAAATTAAGCATTTGAGAATCAATAACAAAATCACATGTATAACATAGCCTGATGCTGCTGCTGCTACTGTTGCGGAACTACATACAGTAGCGGAATTATAAAAATTTGATTCTTAATTATAATTCATTAGGAATAATATTACATTCTAAAATACAATAAAATTAAATGATACTTTCTCAAATACAATTGACTATTCTCAAATACATTTGGTGTTTTCTCAAATCCAACTGACTATTCTCATCTACTTTGATGTTTTCTCAAATACAAGTAACAATTCTCAAATACAATTTACAACTTCTCGAATAAAAGTGGAAAAGGTGTAGTATTCGCTTGTGCTGGACGGAAAAGTATTCTGTATTTAAATACCTTTGATTAGTGTAAAGTATTTAGTATTTAGTATTCAAATAGTTTTTGAAAGTATTCTGCCCAGCTCTGGCCTATACCTTCATAAATAAATTCTTTTCACGGAGTGGAGCTTTTTGTTTTTTAAGTCTCTTAGTATACAATGGAAAATGTGCTTAAGAAATTATTATTTTTTTATTTAACACTGTAGTCTTGAGTCATTTTGATCGTGTTCTTGTTCAACACTATAATAGCGCGAGTTCATAACAAATAGGTTGCTAACAACTTGTCCTTATATTAATTCCCATCCAGTCTTTACATCTCACTAACACATATTTGCAACTTTAGATCATGCACACACGAAATAAAAATCATTACTTTCACTGCCAAAATTAGACAAACGAACTCATTAATAACTCGCAGAATAACACTCCTGATGATTTTAGAAAAATGAGCTGTATTTGCAATAGCACCTTACTATCTTCATCTCCGTAATTCACAGAAAATGAGACGCTAACGTTTGTAACGTCGGTAATACAGAACACGCATGTATCAAATCCAAAACGCATATACATAACATATAATCCCATGTATATACATAGCACATCCAAAATGTATATTTATGGAATATCCATACTAAACATAAAATACATATGCCTATCCTATAATGAATATACATAGTATATACATAAGATGGACAGGATATTCCCTGTACATTATGGATTTAAAATGTATATACATAAGATATCGAATGCTATGTGGGATTAAAACAAACTCCGAATTAAAAGCACCAACCTCCATCTTCTCAAAGGGGAATTTTCTTAGGGGCGAATTTGTCTTTAAGGCACATTTGTTCTCAAACAAAATGTGCTTTTTATAGGGAATACCTTTTTTGAATTATTTTTAACGCATCAACTCTCAGTTTTTTCTCTGAATAGAGTTTGTCTATCGCTATTCTCTATTCCACGAATGAATTTATTGAAAAAGCTCACCCTCTACGTACCTACTTACAAAGAGCTATTGTTGGTTAAAATTTTCTTGAATACTAATTAGTTTTGAGACTATATGAAAAATGCTTTTATAATATTTCTATGACAACATTGATTCTAATACCATATTCTGTTTCAGGTAAGCCTTCCCGTTCTCCTCACTTAATCTATCGCGGTAAGTGCGTTTCTTTCTTTCCCTTACAAACAAGGAAATCCAAACCGAAACCGAAAATAAGATAAATAAATAGCTCGAATTGCTATTAGAGACGTGCGGTAAAAATAAGTTATCGCGTAAATTGCATTAAAACTTCCTTAATTCACTTTGAGTATAGAAAATTCAATCTCATTCCTTGCGAAAGATGGCTAAAGGAAAATATTGGATTCGCGAGGTGAAATTAACATAGATTGGCTTAATTGAAATAGTTATAGGTACACCTAAGTGCTTATTCCATTGATTACACATTCAATTTTCGAGTAAATAACTATTAAAACGAACGAATGGCCAATTTAAAGCGCGAACGCGAATTATTTATAATACGTACGCGTACTATCAGATGTATTTCGTATTCAGCCCTCATTAGCGTAATTAGTTGAGCTAATTTAATCTCTGTTAATATTTCACGCGGCCCGATGAAATTTTGAAATGTTCAGGGCGCAAAAAAAAAGAAACTGACTGTGTATTTCGAGATAATAAAATACACCCCCGGCGTTTCTTTTTATAAGATGTATAAAAATACTATATTCCATTAGATTTTTATAAGGGTTGTCTCGTAATTCTTTAAACTCCTAGTTTGGTACCTGTATCGCGAGATTGAGGCCTATTGTACATTCTACCTTTATCTTGACTCCCTTAAGATGTCTGTGTCGTTAAAACAGTTTTCTAAAAAAAAAATGTAGTGCTAGTGTTCTGCTAAATTGTGCTGATCGGGAAAATCGGTTTTATTTTGATTTTATTCAGCCCCCCGGTTTTTTTAACCTGCAAATTCCACTACTACTTTGACGAGTTGTGCTCGATGCATATTGGATTGTGCCGATCAAATATTCGAAATCTCGGGGGGTAACTTGACTCCTAGCCCCGACGTTGTTTTACAGATGTGGAATAAACAATAATGGCAATAAATTGTGCTCGATGAATCTTGGATTGTGCCGTTCAAATTTTCGAAAATAGTGTAACGGTAACCCCATAGCTCCTGCACTCAAAATCTCGGGGGCCATCTTAATTCTCAGCCCCCCTTTTTTTTTAATCTAAAATCAGCAGTGTTGGTAATAAGTTGTCCACAATGCTTATTGGACTGTGTAGTACAAGGTTTCAAAATAGTCTTATGGTACGCCTGCAATCAAGTCACTAAATAGGCATTTTATGTATTTCTCGTCGGTGGCCGTAGACACAGAGGGGTGAATCTACGGGCGTTTCCTTCGGCTAGTGGCTACCCAGTACCACTATTTTCAAAAATTTGAACGGCACAATCGAATATGCAGTGAGAACAATTGATTCCCATTATTGCTTATTCCATATTTGTAAAAAATGTGGAGTGGGGGGGGGGGGGGGGGGGCTGAAAGTCAAGTTAGCCTTCCAAAATTTGAGGGCAGGAATTACCGTGGACCGTAAGGCTATTTTCGAATATTTCGCTTACACCACTCGTTAAAGAAGTAGGTAGTGGAATTCGTACCTTAAAAAAACAGGGGGTCTGAAGTCAAATTCTCCCCTATGTTTCAATTCTAGGATAACGGGTTTTCTACATCAGCACAATTTAGCACATCACAAGCACTATTTAAAAATTTTCATTGCATTTTTTTTCTTTAATTGGCGGACTAACTTGATTGAGCTTTTTATATACACTTTTAAGAGTGGATTGTGAACCCTGGAAACAAAATCAATCCAGGAAAGAAAAGTATCACAAAAATTATAGCCCTCACAATAGACTACTTGTTATGTAAAGCGAGTTTTCTGACAAACGTTGTAATTTTTTAAACGGCAAGGCTCTAAACTCTTATATGCACTTAAGGGGTGGTTTGTGAGCTCTTTAAACGACATCAAACCAAGAAACAGAAATATTTTAAGTATTACAAAAGAAAATAATAGTCATTTATTATACAAGACGATAAAGGGACGTTTTAACCATCAAGTGAAAGATGTTTATTTTCCCTTTATCGTCTTTAGCAGAATAGCAGAAGCCATAAGAATCATTATAAAACTTCTGAAAATTCTGTAGGTATTTAGTGTAGACGTCTAAAATAGCAAGGCTAGGTTTCTATGGAAACAGTATTGTATCCTGTTCTGAACTTCATTTTATATCGTGTTCCGCTTCCCACTTTTAATAAGAATGCCATGTCATTGGAATGCACAATGATTTGTTTCATTTTATCTACCCTAACTGTTAAAGAGACACTCAGCCTACTTATTGAAACCTTTAAGATATCAATTTAACATCTGCTATAAAATAAAATTCAATTAAGCCGCAAGAAAATGCAATTATATTATGTAAATTTAAATTTGTATTTGAAAAATAAACGGTAGTCATGGTGACAGTCGGTGGAACGGTACGGTAACTCGAGTGCCATCAGAAAATTCGGAAAGCCTGCTTTTGGCCAAGGTCGGCAACATCGACAGATCAAACGATTTCAAAAATCCCCTTTCTAAATCATGCTGTTACCTGCTATAGAATTCCCAAAAAAATGTGGAAATGAACTTGGATGTTCCTAGACTCGTACCAAAACCCAGGAAGTCTGGTCTATCGGGACAACTAACTGTTGCCGTATGGAATGCTCTATTCAGTTCACCATTCTCCATTTCTTAGTGGGTTCTGTCTATCCATCCTATTGGTTCCTCAAAGTGAACTCTTCCAAAAAAACGTTGTGAATGGACTACAATGGTGCAACCGAATTCCCAAACGTCATGTTGAAGTATGAAATTGTAGTGCGAGTTGAAGCTTAAAATAAAGGTCGAAGCTTTTTGTTGCTTGTGTTACTTTACTTCAAAGGCCACAAGAGTTCCAGTGTTGCCTGTTTGTTAAATGCATTTCTTTCTGAATCAAAACCATACAAGGTTACCTCACTAAAGCATTCTTAAAGAAAACCCTTTTTTTTAACCTGCCGAGTCCGTTACCCGTCCTGTGATAAATAAAATAAAAGTGAAAACTGCGGTAGGGAGTCGATGTAAAATCCTGAAAGAATATGGGGTAAAGAATGAAACACTCTGTGTATCGACTTTAAATGCAAATTGACGACGTTTCAACCATAATTGGAGTCGTTAAAGATCCCTTTAATTATCCGACGTATGGAGGTATCCGAAGTTGGGTGTCATTAAATAATCTGTGTACCGAAATTAGTCATATGGCGCTATATAGGTAGTGGAATGAATACATAACACGTATATATACGTTTTACAAAAGATGTAAATGATGTATTACCCGAGGGAACCGTATTGCTTCTAATTCTATTTAATGTTTCAGAAACTGCTTTCCAAATTACACGTTAAATTTTAATTTGTGGTACTTCACACAAAATATAGGCATCCATTCCGGGGACCTCGCTATCGATTGTTATTTTTCACCTCCTCGCACAAGAGACGCGATTTTTGTATGGAGATGACGAATTTCTACTTTTAAAACTTCGAGATATAACCAATACCTTTTGGAATTCAACTCGGCAACCACTATTTGACAGTGCTGGATACAAATGATATCTGTACGAGTTTGAACTGATCTCATAGGAAATCGACAGCTCAAAGATTTTTTTACATTTTTCTCATACATAATTTATCGGGCCCCTTTTTGCCACGTGCAAAATACGCCGGTTATTTTCAATGTTTGTTCGCGAGACACAGTGAGAGAGGAGGAAGGATAACAATAGACTTCGCGAGCTTCCCGGGTAGCGGGAGGTATCGCATACAAACTCTACAGAGCAAGAGAAATTAATTGCGCCCGCAATCTACTGTACTCTGAAAATGCTGATGAATTACATGCAAGCCCAAAAGTCGCTGCTTTAGGCAAGATACGCAGACATAATTCGTCGAGGGGTTGAAATTATGATTTAAAATTGCCGTTGTAGGTGCGGTAGTTTTCACATATAACGCATACGAGGGAAAAAGGGGGTCGGCGAGGGAGGAAAATGTTACCTCGAGTCAAGTGAGAACGGTTTCAAAAGAATCAGATGTTGCTTGTTAAAAATGATTTGAATCGTCCCTCTCTCTCTCTCACCTTGCGGCGTAACGAGGGTGAATTGCGCGAATGAAATGTCATGGCGTCACAGGTGTAAGTAGTTAATCAGCAATCGCAGCAGCAGCAGTCAGTATTGATCAGTAGCAATCGAGAACAGTCGACATTAATCTATTATACATAAACCTATAAAGTACTCAAATCGACCTCTCTCTCTCTCTCTTTCGAATATGTTACATTATTTACATTGACCTATTCAATTGAGTAACACGCATAAATGAGTTCGCTTCAAAATTAGCAAGTTACATAAATAATGCACGTTCGTCCTCATTTAACATCAATTGAAATCGATTAAAGATCAATTATATTCGTCAATTGGATTGGAAGTGACGTCATCACTGTGTCGTCACTGGGACTAGGGGCGAGCACATGTGCTTATTTGCCATTATGACTATGACTGATGAAAGTAACGTTATCCGGACGCTAAGCTCAAGAAAATGAAGAATAAGATAGATAAGCTTAGATCAAGCTTGTTTTATGAAACTGATGTAGCTATATTTTGTGCAAACTTGTCCCTTTTTATATATGTAATAAAGCGGGTTCTGAACAAGTTTACGTTAGCTCGAGCGCGGTTAAAAAATTTCCACACACGAGGGGATTAAATTCTCTATTACGGCGAGCGAACTTGAAAATCCACCTCGCGAAAATGACGGGATACACGACGGTTATTGTTAATCTAACTTAAATAGAATTAGATAGTGCTTTGACTATACGTTCCGTGACGCTGGCTATTAAACACTTTTTGTATACGGAAAGGTGTCCCATTCCTTTGCTTCGATTACTATTATTATTTTCTTGGTGATGAATGTAGCCGAGCCAACTCCACGTAAAGATGTAGTGTAAATTGGCATGGCACCTAAAATATTCTGAAGAGTCGAGTGAATTTCTAGTATAGATCTTAACGTTGAGAAAAGTCATTTGCACCACCAACTTAAAACTATAAGTTTAAAATCGGAAGCTGAACCATAAAATTAAAATTTCAACTTGAATTCCAAAGTTCTAATTCGAAGTTGAAGTCTGAAA